CTCAGTCGGGCTGGGTCTTTACCCTAAATGGAGGAGCAATTTCTTGGAAGAGTTCCAAGCAAGAGACAGTGGCAGATTCTACTTGTGAATCAGAGTATATTGCAGCTAGCGAGGCGGCAAAGGAGGCGTTATGGCTGAGGAACTTCATTGGAGACCTTGGAGTTGTACCAGCTATTAAAGAGCCAATGGAAATTTTCTGTGATAGTGAAAGTGCTGTTGCCTTAGCCAAGGAACCAAGGGATCACGGGAGATCCAGACACATCGACAGAAAATACCATTTCATCAGACATCGGATCGAAGAAGGACTCCTCGTGGCAAAGAGGGTATCATCAGATGAGAATCCGGCAGATCCCCTCACGAAGGGACTGACTCGGGTTAAGCATCTCCAGCATGCTCGGAGCATAGGGCTGAAGGATGATATTAGATTTAGTAGTTAGATAACCTCGAAATTTGTAAAGTGTAATTGACATTTGATGATGAATAAAAGTGTTTTATTTATGAGTAAAGTGTTGCTATCTCTTGTCGATCGTTTACTATATTTCTTTTGCATGTTTTGACTTCCAGAATAATTTTGTTTGGTATAACATATTATTCAAACCTCCACAGTCGGTCATATGTCGGAAGTAGGTATGAATCAAGACTGTCATGTTTGGTTGTAGAGGTCTTGGACAAGGCTACAACAATCATGAGTGCTCATAAGTTCTGAGCATTGGACTCAACCCACGCTCACTGGAATCACTTCATGGAATTCTATCTCGAGTGATCGTGAGACGGTAATATCATATAAGTCTTTAAACCTAGAGATATGATTTGTTACTTACAAGTTGGTTATGCATTGATTGTACGAAAAATGCATTGGTAACTCGATGTTATAAATCGCGCTCTTGTGTGTAATTCAATGAGTAGTAGAACAAACATATGAGTCGAAGTTTATCTGTTCCTTCTTGGATTAGAAGCTGATATCTGGGCCCCTCGATGATTTTGTTTTGACCTATGTACCGGGCCCGGTCAGAACTAAATTGATGTGTTCAATGAAGTTCTTTGTCAAACAAATCGGAAATCGGGAAACAAATGTTGGACAATAAGTAAGACATTGTTCCATGTATTTGTCCGACTGATATCTAGAACAGAGGATTATATGATCACTTATCTTAAATGGCGTACCATCATCTTCTCAGTTTCGAGAAACCTTGAAAGAGCTACGATTGCCGATCGGTTCCTGAAGTCATACTTGCAGTAATAGTTATTAGACTTATCCAAGTGGGAGACTGTTGGATAAGGTGTCTAAGTCCATAACTATTTCTGGTATGTACTTGACCCGACCCGGCATGGTCCATTTGGGTTGCATGGCACCATGCAATTGGATAGACTAAATGAGAGAAATAACACTTGGAGATTATTAATATATTATAAGTTCTAATATATTAATAATATTATTTGATTAGTTTGATCAAGAATTAATTTAGAATTAATTAAGTGATCAAAAGATAACTAATTAAATATATGGGTTGATTATGTAAATCATCCATATCTTGTATAGTGGGCTAAAAGGCTCCATGGACTATCAAGTTGGGTTCCACCCATAGGATGCTCCATGGGAGTTACAAACCCATGGGTCATGGAAATGAAGAGTCATGACACATTAGGGTTTAACCCTAGATGTGTCAACACTATATAAGTAACATGTTCTCCACCTAAAATCGGCTACACTAAGAAACAAGAGGGCTTGGCCGATTTTGAGAAGTGTGTATACTCTCATAAGTTCTTCCAAGAGCATTTGGTGTTGTGTGAAGCATTTGAGGCATCACACTTGGGGTGCTAGGCTCACAAGGTTTCAAGGAACACAAACAACAACAAGGTAAGTTATTCTATCTATACTTTATGTTAAAATTGTTCCCCATGTATGCTAGATAGGAATATAACCTTGGAATTCAACTTTGCATTACAATTAGACAAACATAGATCCAAGGTTATTAGGGTTGCATGTACACTTAGGAAGTGTTAGAATGCTCAAAACCCATCAGGTTCGATATTGGTTTATAAAATAGTGTTTTTATATTCAAAGATTTATGTTGTAATGGTGTGTATGAAACAATGATAAGTGTTGATAACTTAGGTAGTAGTATATTCCATATCGATTCATCTAACGGTGTAGATAAAACATGCTTGTGGCATTATCATCTTGGGCACATTAACAAGAAATATATCGTCCAACTCCAAAAGGATGGAGTGTTGGAATCATTTGACTTAAGGTCAAATGATGAATGCAAGTCTTGTCTATTTGGCAAGATGAAAAAATCACCTTTCATTGGAACATGTGAAAAAGGTGAAGAATTATTGGACCTTATCCATATGAATGTGTGTTGGACCTTCATATCTGCTACAAGGGATGCTAATCGCTACTATATGACATTTACTGATGATTATATATATCAGATATGGGTATATCTACTTAATCAAGCATAAATCTGAAACCTTTAAAAAGTTTAAAGAATTTCAACATGGAGTAGAGAATCAATTGGAAAGGAAGATAAAGATGCTTCGATCTGACAGAGGTGGAGAGTATATTAGTATTGAGTTCCACGTCTTAAGGAATGTGGATTTGTTTCAAAATCGACTCCTCCCAGAATACCATAACTTAATGGTGTGGCTAAGAGGCGTAATCAGACCTTACTTGATATGGTTCGTTTCATGATGAGTTAGGCTTCTCTTCCAATATCCTTTTGGGGGTATGGGTTAGAGACAACCACCGATATCCTAAATCCTGTCCCTAATAATAAGGTTGCCAAAACACCTCATTAGATGCAGATAAAGAAGGTACCATCGCTCGTACATATCAAGGTATAGGGTTGTGAGTCTCTCGTAAAAAGAGAAACTCATTACAAACTTAAGCCCAGAGCTGAGAAGTGTATTTTCATTGGCTACCCATAAAATTCCTTAAGATAATTATTCTATAAACCTAGTTAGAACGTGGTCTTTGTATCTCGAAGATAAGTCTTACGCGAGAGAGAGACCATATTCAAAGTGGATAGTAAGAGTGTTATTGATCTGGATGAAATTACAGAGTCATCCAATAAAGGAACCTTAAATGTGAGAAACATGTTGAGCCGACTGACAATTTATTACCTCTTCATCGATTCAGTAGAGTTAGCATGCCACCCGAGTTCTATGGTTTTCATATAACTGCAAATGGAGATATGTTCATTAGTGATAACATACTGGTGAATTTGGATGAACCTGCTAACTACAAGGAAGCGATTGAAGGCCCTGAGGCTGCAAAATGGAAAGAGGATATGGATATCGAGATCCAGTCCATGTATGATAAGCAAGTGTGGCAATTGGTTAATCATGAACCCAACCGAAAGACATTAGGTTTCAAATGGATCGTCAAGAAGAAGACCAACATGGATGGAAGGGTACACATATTCAAAGCTCAACTGGTTGCGATAGGCTTTACTCAAACCTAAGGGGTTAAATATGATGAGACCTTCTCGCAAGTGGCTAAGATCAAATCGATCCGGATAATGCTTTCCATTGTTGCCTTTTATGATTATGAGGTATGGAAAACTGATGTTAAAAACACTTTCCAAAATGGGAAGTTAAATGAGTACGTCGACACGAGTCCACCATGTTTTGTACATGCCAAATTTCCTGAGAGAGTGTGTAAGCCTGAGAAATCCATTTGTGGATTGAAACAAACATCTCATAGTAGGAATCTTAGCTTCCACAAGAAAGTCAAAGAGTTTGGATCACTAGGAATAAGGATGAGCCATGTGTGTATGTCAAAGCTAGTGGGAGTATAGTAACTTTCCTAGTGTTGTATGTTGATGACATACTCCTTATAGGAAATGACATTCCAACCTTACAAGAAGTGAAATATTAGATTGAGAAGTGTTTTTCTATGAAGGATCTAGGGGAAGCGGCCTATATTCTTAAGATAAGAATTTTGAGGGATAGAAAGAATCACATTATTGGACTTAGCTAGAGTACATACTTAGAATAAATTATGATGCGTTTCAATATGGAGAACTCTAAGAAAGTGGATTTGCCCATTCACTGTACTGTCAAATTAAGTAAGAATCAAAGTCCCAATACCAATGAGGAAATAGATGACATGAGTCGAGTTCCATATGCTTCAGCTATAGGATCGATCATGTGTGCTATGACATGTAATATCCCTGATGTGTCTTATGCTTTGACCATGGTTAGTATGATTTTAGGGTAATCCAGGCTGTAAGTCCCAAAACTATGAATCTTACGCAATATCAATCAATCTATTTAGCGAATGCGGAATATAAACTAAATAGAGATTCAAGCATACGAAAATAACATTCAATGCACACGATTCTATTGATTAATAAATCACCTGGTACATTAAACCTTCTAACTTTAGCCGTGAACAACCAATGGGCAAAAATTGCTAGCTAAGTCACGACTGAGAACACTATATATATATATATATATATATATATATATATATATATATATATATATATATATATATATATATATATATCAGTCCAAGGCCTCAAAAGCCCAACCCATCAAGACCGTAAACACCATATAAATACTAAGTGTTCATGGTTAAACTAGCCGTGAACACATACAGACCCATTAAAGTAGTAACAACCTAAGCCTAATAAACAAAAAACAATCTAGACCCACTAAGGAATTATGAGCCCAACATAAACCAAAAAATATAACCCAAAACCCCTCCTTGGTTTTATTGCTGGCTGCTTTTAAAGTTTGTCTATAAGATGAACATCAGACTGATTAAGTGCCCCAACCCACAACTTCTTCTTAATTATAGTGGCAACCATTCCAGTGAAACGTTTTCCAGCAGCTTCAAATAATTCATTCTCAACAATAAGCTGAAAATGTGACAAAGTATGAATATCATGTTTTCCAAACTTTAACAAATCTCTTGGATCGAAAATGCGATATTGGCCCTTCTTTAGCTTGATTACCGCCGATGCGGTAGCTTCATCATAAACCCAAAACTACATCGAGTCCAAAGAGCCTTCTGGAACACGTTTAGGAACTGGAATCCTTTTAACTTTCTTTGTGGGTGGCCACATGACGTTCACCAAGGTTTTATTAGTTCGAGGATCAATGACATATTTAGCCTTTCTCGTGAACGATGAAACAATCTTCATGCCCTCAAATTTATTTTTAACTTGAGTCTTAAGAAATCTCTTAAAATCCCAGGCTACATAATTATTGGTTGGATTGTGGAAGGGAGCACGATTAAGTTCAGCAAGATCAATTTTAGTCCAGGACATAAAGTCAACTGACTTCTCATAGTACTCAACTCGCTTGCTCTTTCGCTTTACTACCCACATTTTCCTGTCAGCATCATATCCCCACATCAAAATGCCAGATCGATCTCTATCTTGTCAGTCTAATCCTTTCCTATTTCCCTCAAAAACATTTCATGGTGATCACCCAAAACATTCTGATCTAAATGCTTTATAACTAACATCTTCCCCTTTAGCTCCTCAATTCGTGCTTGCTTCTCTCTCCTTTCTTGAGCAGAAGGACCAGAAGATAAAAAAGTGTCAAGGTTTGCATCCAGAGCAGGTCTAACAAACCTCTCACTTACACCTTGAGAAGATGGATTAACTGGATTAGAAGTAGAAGCTGTAATCTTTTCGCCTTCAGAGCTCAAAGGTTGGAAATCATCACCAAACTTTTGATATAAATGCTGTTTCAAGTCAAAGAGTAAATCATTTATACCACCAAGATTTGCTTGAAGTTCATAAATCTTCGCATATTTAATAGAGTTCTCTTTTTCAAGACTAGATATTCTTACATCCAAATTACCAATTAGAAAGTCCTTCTCCATTGATTCCTACCTCAAAGACACAATCTCCTGTTTAAGCTCAAAGATAATTTGATGAGAATCTTCATCACTCCCTTGTCTAGAGCCGATAGATATTCCTTTTCCTTTGGATTGAGAAATAGAATCTTGAAAAGCAAGTATCATGGCTAGCTTTCCAGATGAGACATAATGCTCTAGAAGTGATGGAGCAGAGGAACTTCCTGAGGCAAACGTTTTTTCAGCTAGAAAGTTGAAACCTTTGCCAAAAACTGGACTTTGAACATTATCCTGAACCTGGGATGGTTCAACAATCGGGCTCTGAGCATCTTCTTGAACAACTTGGGCTTGATCCATAGAGGGACCTTGATCATCTTGAGAAACCTAAACTAGTTCTACAATAGGGCTTTGATCATCTTGAGCCAACTGGGCTAGTCCTATAGAAAGAATTTGATTATATTGAGAAACTAGGGTCAGTACTTCATTAGGGCTTGATGGTTGTACTAGTTCAGAAACAAATACTCCCGACCTTGAATCTTTGCGGCTTTGCTTTCTTGGAAATAAGGAGACGTCTGAATCAATTTTATCATTCTCAGATGGAGAAGCAGAAATAACAGGAACCGCTTAGGGAGGCTTCCTTGCAGTTGATTGTAGTTGAGCAATGAGAGCATCCATCCGATCGGGTGTGGGATCGTTCGATTGCTTGAAAATATTTACATCCTTTTAAGTTTCAACTGGAGTATCCAAAACTTTACTATCAAACTTCTGCAGTGGTACATGCATACGAAAATCTCCATAATCACTATCACTATCATCATCATTGTCAAAATCACCAACATCATCATCAATATCATTGTCATTGTCATCATTAGAAATCTCAAACGAGGAACTGAGATTTGGTTTTGTTGGAGCTGTATGTTCTTTAGCTACTATTACAATTGGAGTACTAGCAGTCTGAGTATCTTCCTTTTCAACAAACTTTCCAAATTAAACCAACTCTCTTGCTCCTTGAAAAGTGATCTTAGTTGTTTTTCTAGACTGCTTCATGAGTCCAAAAGTGCTGGGACCTAAAGCTTTCATCTCCAATGTGTTAGATGACCTCTCAATTTGGGAATATTTTTCATTTAGGATCATTTGAAGAAACCTGGGATACATTAAGAATTGGTCCTTTTTCTTCCCCTGATGATTTCTGTTCATTTCTTCAAAGACAAACTTTGAAAAGTTGTAATCCCAGTTCATAGATAGAGCGACAATAGCCGAGGTCGCAGTCTGAGAAATCTCATCAAAACCTGACTTCCTTCCAGAAATACAAATTATAAAGTAATGTGCTAGAAACCTCCAATAAGGTGGTCGCTGCTTCTTGATAGTTGGAGGATAAGTTCCTTCATAACACATTTTCTCAAGCACCTCCTTTACTTTACTAGAAGGATATTTAGTTGGTAATTTAAGAGCATCACCAAATTCAAGCACATCTCGAATAATTTGTTCAGAGATAACTATGTTAATTCCCTTTATCACTGATTCAATATTGCCAACTCCACCCTCACCCTTGTTATTAACAGAGGCATTTTTCCAAAAATCAACAATTAGGTCCTTGAAAACGAATGGATTAGAACGTAACACATGTGAAATTCTACAATTATTCAAGCCCATAATCATGGATTTGAATTCTCAATGAGCAGCAGGAGGATCCATAAGAAATCCAACAACATTGTGATTTTCATTGAACTTTAATTGATTTGCCATTTATCTGCACCAAACGAGTCAAGTAAGAATGATTCAAGGAAAAATAATTGTCTAAACAATACTAATTACAAATTAAAATTTAATTATTAAGAGTAATAAGAATAATAACTTCTTATTAAACTTAATAATTTCCTTGAATTAAACGTTTATGGTCAAAGTTCAACTTTAACTATTTACGGTGAAGTCAAACTTTAATCGTTTACAGTCAATGGATGTCCTCATTTACGGTCAGGTAAAGGTTTTTCCTTGTTTACGGTTAGGTATATGGGTTTCTATCTGAATCCGGATCAAGGCGTAAACCCTAAATTAACCTGACGATTCATCGTCTACATTTTGTCAGAGCCTTAGTCGGAAACCATTGTCAATGAATCAAAACCCTCCATTAACAACCTGAAAATACCTCAAAACACAAAAAAGCTTGGAATATGATGCTCGATGAAGACATACCTCGAGGAAAAACGTTGAATCAACTGAATATTTTTTGAAAACAAAGAGATGCGGAGAATACAAACAGTTTTCGTCAAGGGTTTGGGGTTTTTGTGTTTACGGTGAAAAACTTTGAAAGTGAAGTAAATAAGAGAAAAAATAAGGCTTTTATACTTGAACAAATAGGTTTCTCGGTCCATATAGTCCATTGGGCTCAAATTAAAATAACTCCAATAAGCTTAAAATGATTGATTCAAAGATAAATTGAACAAATAGGCATTTATTTATATTTTTTTAATTAATTTTAATTTTTAATTTTATTTAATTCTCCCCCTAAATTTGTGCATAGAGGAAAAAAAATAAAATATGAACAAATTTTATAAAAACAAAAATTTATGACTAAATTTAAACTTTTGGGATCAAAGTTGTCAAGCACTTTAATATCGTTTGATGACAGACACACACCTGCATGTTTAGATCTGGTCAATCATTGGTATTGTGGTCCACTTAAACACAAAAAATATTGACAAATTAGACAGATTATAAATGACAAGACATTTGCTATTATATTCCTAAACATACCACTTAGCTGACGACGACCAAGGATATTGTAGTCCACTTGAATTTAGCAGCGAGATCTACATACAACCTATTAAATGGTTCAACTTTAGATGCACTAAAACATGTTCCCTACTTCCCGATATACCCCGGTAATCAAAAACTTCCAAAGAATCTTACTTTAAGTGTGCAGACAATTATTTAGGGAGAAGTCAGATTCAGAATGCATATGTTGTATACCTAGGTCGGATCTCTTCCAATCACGTAGAGGGAATAACATATGACTAACCATAATAGAGGGATTGAGAGGTAGAATGATGAATATGATGTGTTCTAGGTCAGATGTCTCCCAATCACACAAAGGAGACAACATATGGCTAACAGATAGAAAGAATTGCATAGATAATAGGACACATAAATATAGAGTTCTATATGTTGCAGTCCAGGTCAGATATGTTCCAATCACGCAGAGGAGGAAACATATGACTGACAGATAGAAAGCAAGAAGATAATTTCCTATAGACTTACTTTATCAGAACCCCTCGGTTTCCCTATTAGTACGAGAATTAAGGACACGAATCCATACATAGAGGAAATGTTAAGCCATAGTTCTAGATGCATATGACTTTAATGTATCCTGCAGGTTCCCATGTTTATCTCACTGCTCAATCTACCCGAGCGTCGTATTGTCAGACCATGCAGAGCTATCTAAGTCTATTTGTCAACTGCCTGCATTGTTAATCTCCATCTAGTCCTTTTGAATCTTTCGTGGCTACCAGTGCATTGGACACAGAATCTAAACAATTTAGCTATTAGTGCATCACACATCTCTCGTATTGACCTTTAGCACTAAACTTTATATCACTTCCCAAAAATAATTACGAAAAAGTTTTTTTTTTTAATTTGTAAACAAATAATTATTAACTTAATCTTCGAAACGAATCATTTTTAGAAAGCCCACAGGCACATCGAAACGAGATTTACTGAAGGGTTTGGTAAACAAATCCTACATGTTAATATCAGTGTCGATTTGTTCCAAACGAATGAGTTTACAATCATAACAGTCTCGAATAAAATGAATTTTAATGTCAATGTGCTTGGTTTTGGAATGTTGAACCGGATTTTTAGCAATATGAATGGATGCATCATTATCATAAAAAAATGAAAGTTTCAAGAAAGCTCAAACCGTAATCCAACAATTGGTGTTGAATCCAGATAGCAGCAGGCTGATGCAACAACAAATTCAGCGTCATCCGTTGAGTTTGACACTGTTTGTTGTTTCTTGCATTGCCATGACACCAATCTGTACCCCAAAAACTGATATCCACTAGACGTAGATTTCCTATCAAGATCACATCCTCCATAATTGCTGTCAGCAAAAGCATATAAATCGAAATCGGAATTTTTTTTTGATACCAAAGACCTAGTTTAGTGCTACCTTTAATATACCTAAAAATTCTTTTAACAACAATTAAATGAGAAAGTTTAGGATTAGCCTGATAACGAGCGCATTGACAAACAACAAACATGATGTCAGGTATGCTGGCAGTCAGATACATCAAAGATCCGATCATCGATCGATATTCTTTTTGATCTACGGGTTCCCTATCTGGAACTGGAGCCAATAGTGGTCTTTCTACCATTGGAGTCAAAATAATTTTTGAGTCTTTAAAACCAAACTTTTCTAGCATGTCTTCCACATATTTGCCTAGATGCAATAAGATTTTGGTCCAATCCTATCGAACCTATAACCCTAGGAACATTGTCATCTCCCCTAGCGAGCTCATCTTAAATATTTTCTTCATTACATCCTCTAACTCTTTGTATAGCTTTGAACTGGTAAACCCAAAGATAATTTCGTCTACATATATTGGACGATAATCAAGTCTGCATCCAAGTTTTTAATGAATAATTTCTGATCGATCGTTCCCTTTGTGTATCCGTATTCAAGCAGATGTTCAGTTAGGGTAGCATACCAGGCTCTAGGAGCCTGATGCAAACCGTATATGTAGCACCTGGTTCCTGGTATGTATTCTTGATTATTAACTCTCCTTATGTATTGCATTTTAATTTTGGACTCGGCGAGTTGAAGGACTAACTCGCCGAGTAGAAGCAGGACTAGACGCGGGATCAACTCTGTCTACTCGACGAGTAGGCTCGTGGGACTCGGCGAGTAGACCCTGTCTGGACTAAAACCCTAACCCGGGTGTTTGCACCCTATTTAAATGATCTAACCCAGCCTCCATTTCCCCTAGCACTCCTAGAGATCTGTAGAATGAAACCCTAGCCCTTTGTATCCTTGTGGGTGATTTTTTTAGCTTTATGAAGGTGGTTTGGAGCTTGGGAGAAGAAGGAGAAGGTTGAAGAGTGCAAGAAGAGAAGAAGATCCGGAATCTACTCTATGAGGGGCTTCAATTCAGGTAAAAGTTCCTACCTTGATCTTTAGTTCATTGAACCCCCCTTCTTGTCCCTAAAAAGAGGTTTTAAGCCCTAAGAACCTAAATCTCTATGTGTTTATGGTTAATGTTATGCAAGGACTTCAGATTTGGACCTTTAGGACATCCTAGTAGCATAAAGTCGCTGTGGTTTCGGTGATTGAGGTCCCTATTGAGTGTAGGACCTCTTAAAGAGCTTGGAATTGCATGTTTGAGCTCATAGGGTCGTGCATGCACGTAAAGTTTGCAACTTTACGTGGTAAACATGCCCTAGGACCATAGATCTGTGGTTTTGAAGCATTGCATGTCTCTGATCTGGCCTACTCGGGAAATGGGTCGAGGAACTCGGCGAGTTGCTCGTGGACTCGGCGAGTCCAGTCAACTGGAAGTTGACTTTGACTTGGATTTCGACTTGGTCAAGGGTAAAAGGGTCATTTTACCCTAAGAACATCTAGTAGTGTTTAACTGATCGTTTTGTGGGATTTGTAGCCGGAGGACGTCCGGAGCAGCAGCAGTAGGCAGTCAGTTCCCAATCAGATCAGCAACTACTTTGAGGTGAGTTACCTTCCAGTAGCGGTGGGTCTAAGGCCACAATGCCGGCCCACCAGTAGGATATCTATGATAGATGATTTTCTCTACGATATTCATCTAGGGTTGCTACTACCTGTGTTATGTTTATGTGCTAGTATGATATGATTCTATGTGCTTGTGACAGTAGGGGGGAGATAGTCCCGAAGATATCCGGTCGGTAGGGCCGAAGGGGTAGTCATACCCAGCCATGCTAGATAGATTCTGATATTGTGACACATGTTATGTGGTAGTAGTAGAGGGGAGAAATAGTTCCCCAGTATCCGATCGAGAGGATCGAAGGGGAGGCCATCACCCAGATATGCTAGCCAGTATCCGGTCGAGAGGATCGAAGGGGAGGCCAGCACCCAGGTATGCTAGGCAACGTCCGGTCGAGAGGACCGAAGGGGTAGGTTGGGCACCCAGATATGCCTGACAATATATGTATGTTATGTGGTTTATGGTATGTGGTACAGTGGGGGAACTCACTAAGCTTCGTTCTTACAGTTTTCAGTTTTGGTTTCAGGTACCTCTTCAACTAAGGGAAAGGAGCCGACGCGGTAGCAGCATCTCACACACACTCTTGTTTCCGCAGATATGAGTTTATTCCGGGACTCATACTCTGATATTTTGGTCGTTTACATGTTGTGGATTTCAAATTTGGTTTTTTGATGTGAAATGGTTTAATTTAACAATGTTTCAATTATTAATGTTTTCTAAGTAATGTTTTAAAAACGAAATTTTTGGACGTGAAAATTGGGTCGTTACAAGTTGGTATCAGAGCCCTGGTTTGATGGATTCGGACTCACCTTCGGGGGTGTCTGAACTCAAATCGAGGGAGTAAAAGATTTTCCAAAAAGAAATGTTTTCTAAGAATTAAGAAAAGGGTTTGAGAAGAAATGAAGTGTGTGATGTGCGCAACCGACC